AAACCAACAAGTTAGCAGAACAGGTATGGAAGCGGACCAAGAGAATATAAAGGTGATGAAGATACTCAATCAATAACGACAACGTCAATCACCAATTACCGTGAACGTGAGAAACCTAAAGAAAGTTGTCTCTTCCGCCTACCTACCTAGGCAGCATCGTTTCAACTACTAGCAGTGGCACAGGCACATATGAGGGTGTCAAAGTCAGCATTGGAAAAGCAAGACAGGCATTCCTGTAATAAATTGAAGTCAGTGCGGAGGTCTTCTGCACTCAGCACAAAGATTCTCAAGAGTACTTCAATCAAGTAATTCACTGCTTCTATGTGATGATTGAGAGATTTGGCACGTCATGAAAAGCATTTTCAACAAACTACAGACATTCATGAACAGCTGCCTACGCTCGTTGCTGAAGATCAGTTGGCCAGAACGAATAAGTAACAAGGAACTCTGGCCTGTAAATGAACCAACCAACCAACCAAGAAGCAATCGCCCAAGAAATATGCAGAAGAAGAAAGTGGAGATGGACTGAATTGGACAAAGACTGAGAAAATGGTCTCGAGAAATTACGCGCCAGGCCAGGCCATCGAGAGGAACCCGTATGGGAAACGACGAGTTGTGCGTCTTAGGCAAGGATGACATGGAGGAGATGGTATGAGGAAGAAATGAAAGCTTGTGGGCAATCATGGAGCCAGGTTGAAAAGACTGCAGGAAATAGAGTGAAATGTTACCGTGCTACTGAAGCTGTATGCTCCATTAGGAACCCAGGGGACGAATAATAATGGTAATTCATCAAGTTGATTCAACAACTATATGAAGACGCCACATGCCAAGTAATTCACAATGGGAAGCTCAGTGATGCTTCTGAAGTGAAGTGAAGACAGAAGTGAAACAAGGTTGCCTACTATTCCCCATGATATTCCTGATTGTGGTGTGGTGGACTGGATCATGCAGCAAACAGTGGGGAGCGAGAAGAGGGGGATACACTGGACTGTGGAAAAGAACCTAGAAAATTTGGATTTCGCCGATGACTTGTGCCTAATGTCACATAAACTTGAAGATCTACAGGCGAAAACTAACAAGTTGGCAAAAGGGGCAGAGAAGACAGGACTTCAAGTGAATATAGAGAAGACAGAGGTGATGGTGATACCCAACCACCACCAACAACAACAACAACAAACTCCAGTCACCATCGACGGGAGGAACTTAAAGGAAGTAGCCTCTTTCACTTATCTAGGAAGCACTGTTTCAACCACAGGCGCCGATGGCACAGACGAGGATGTCAAAGTCAGAATCGGAAAGACAGCAAGAGAGGCGTTCATTAGCCTGAAACCAGTGTGGAGATCTTCTGCACTCAGCACAAAGGGTGAACAAGATGCGGATTTTCAACACCAATTCAGTCAAGTCAGTGTTTCTGTATGGTTCAGAGACTTGGTGCGTTACGAAAGGGATTTCCAACAAACTACAGACACTCATCAACAACTGCTTACGCTAGCTCGATACTGAAGATCAGATGGATTGCCAGAAAGAATAAGCAACAAGGAGCTCTGGGAACGAACCAACTAAGAACCTATCACCCAACAAATATGCACTGGAAGGAAGTGGAGATGGATTGGGCATGTACTGAGAAGCCCGGCTGGGGACACTACGCGTCAGGCCAGTTGCTTGAGTGGAATCCCCATGGGAAGCGACGAGTTTGGCGTCGGAGGTGAAGGTGACATGGAGGAGATCGTACAAGGAGGAAATTGAGAGCTTCTGGGCTGTCGTAGAGCCAGGTTCAAAAGATTTCAGAGAACAGAGATCACTGGAGACGTGCTACTGAAGCTTTATGTTCCATTAGGAACCCAAGGGACTAATAATAATAATAATAAATAATCAAGTTGATCCCTGTGTAGTTATCACTGGTGAAGTTTTCGTCTTTCTTGACGACTAAAGCAATTTAACCTGCCATATAAGATCCGGCATTAAAGTGATTTCCATCAGTCATTCTTTGCGGTTAAAAAAATCTCACTAAAACTTTTTGTTCGTCAAGAAATTGATTTGAAAGTTAAATTGTCTAGAAAAGAAAAAAAATGGGCGAGAGAGGGGATAGACGAGACTGTAAACTAGGACCATGAAAGGAGAAGGGGTTGAACAATCTTTTTTTCGAAGGCAAGAGCTACAGCGATGTACAGAATACGAAGATATGGAGCCTTTGGAAGGTTTCTTTTCCCTTTATAGATGACTTTGAAAGAGGAGGTCCTTGAGATAGTATGAGACAGTGTTCACGATGTATGGGACTCCTTAACGTTACATTGTTACCTCTTTGTAACCTTGCAAGATAGTGTTCTTGGCTCCAAAAGAGCAGAAGTGGTCAGATATGAAAGTTCTTAGATATAGCTGGATGACATCAGAATACTAGTCTCAGTGTTCTCCTTAGAGCGTTTAATATCCTTCTCTTTAGAGTGTCGGTGGCACAATCACATTTGAAGTTTAGATTCATATCGAGTGTTTTTTTTTCATACGGTGATAAGATTGTCTTTGTGAAGTTAAGCGGCTTGGTGTTTTTGGTCGATCAACTGTGGTGGGAAGCCGTTTTCGCTTAGGATGTTCTTTAGAATACAAATTTCCTCTTCTAACATGTCGTGACTGCGGATTTGTCGAATATAAATGACGGAAGATTTCGCTTACTACTCTTAGGAATCAAGTTATTGAAATTCATCAGTTGATCATTCCATTGACCTACTTAACGTTTCATCAGCTGTTCTTGTCAGCTCAACATCATGAAAGTTAATTTTCGATCGATTTTCATCCTCAAAGATGAATCTAATTACTGAATGAAACTTGTTGAATACTTGTAGAGCATAATTCAAATTATAATGATGATGATAGATAGTAAAGTTATCGTCCATTTACTTTTTGTACAGTTGAAAACCTTCAATCGTTGATTTCAGGGATTCGTTCTCACGACCAAATCCTTACAAGTAGAAAAATGTATAAGTCTGCGGCTGTATAGCTTTAAAAATGCAATCGCTGAAAGAGATTCTTCACTGAGATTTACCTGTTCAACTCTGCTATATCAGCAGTGAATACAACCAACTGATATTCAATAAAGTGAACGGTGATTGAGTCTCTCAGCTTGATGGCCAAACATGAAGTTGGTTGCTCTCCAGTGAAACCAATCAATGTATGTTATCTAGTATTACAGGAGGTGGATCATGGACTAAATGGCTCGATGGAAACTTCGTTGACTAAAACACTCAATTGGGGGCATCAATTCCATCTGCGGGATGGTTGCAGATACGCCTTGTCTACAAGTACCAACAAGCAAAGAATATCAGTGTTCTCAGAGATCCACAACCATCCTGCTGATGAGTAGTACCAGCAAACAGAAAATCTACGCCCTTACTCGGTAGCCACACTATAAAACCTTGATCAACATCAAGTCATCAATCCAGCATACAATTCAACACTGAAAGGTGTCAAAATACGAAACTTCTTTAAAAGAATTCATGATATTGCTGATCCGCAATGAAGTTCACTATGAATGTCTTGGATAGCTATGGTGTGGCAGATATTTGTATTATTTACGTGGTTGTGGATAGCAGCAAAGTTCAGGATGCATGTTACCTGTACTCCAGTCAATGATGTTATTCTCACTGAGACTCGAACTTCAGACAGTCGATTCAAACGGTAAAGCATTTGATTCTGTGCTGTATAGGCATTGATGCATTGGTGTTACATTTGTCTTAGTTTCCGTTGTCTCACCAGAAAATATCATCAACACTAAGTTCAATATGAATGAAGTGAACTATCCGAATATTTACATCAATGACTCAGTAGGCTGGTCTGGCGAATTAACATGTGACCGATAATTTTCTCGGATTGGTGCGTCATTGTAGTTAAATACCTGTTTTTATTGGTTGTCTTCCTGCCTGACTTCTGACCTTGCAGTTATTTACAATCTTTCTGATTGGCTGACGGATAGTGTCGATGTTTATATACACAACGATGCCTTACTGCCAGTGAAGTGAAACGCGTAAATAATGACCTATCAGGAGAAAGTTGAATGGACTGGTCTTCTGATAAATACCCGAATTTCCCACCGGTGCCAAAATGCCTCAAAATTTTCCGCCAATATGATACTTACCCAAATACCTACCTACCTACCTACCTACCTACCTACCTACCTACCTACCTACCTACCTACCTACCTACCTACCTACCTACCTACCTACCTACCTACCTACCTACCTACCTACCTACCTACCTACCTACCTACCTACCTACCTACCTACCTACCTACCTACCTACCTACCTACCTACCTACCTACCTACCTACCTACCTACCTACCTACCTACCTACCTACCTACCTACCTACCTACCTACCTACCTACCTACCTACCTACCTACCTACCTACCTACCTACCTACCTACCTACCTACCTACCTACCTACCTACCTACCTACCTACCTACCTACCTACCTACCTACCTACCTACCTACCTACCTACCTACCTACCTACCTACCTACCTACCTACCTACCTACCTACCTACCTACCTACCTACCTACCTACCTACCTACCTACCTACCTACCTACCTACCTACCTACCTACCTACCTACCTACCTACCTACCTACCTACCTACCTACCTACCTACCTACCTACCTACCTACCTACCTACCTACCTACCTACCTACCTACCTACCTACCTACCTACCTACCTACCTACCTACCTACCTACCTACCTACCTACCTACCTACCTACCTACCTACCTACCTACCTACCTACCTACCTACCTACCTACCTACCCACCTACCTGCCTACCTACCTACTTACCTACCTATGCAGGTGCAGAGATGACTTTTTTGAAGATATATTTTGGTGATTAATATATCTTAGTTGGTTAACTGCTTTATTTCTATTCAACAATGTTGCAAATACTCTTTTCCCTGGAACTGTATTACTTCAGAGATATATTTCTTTAGGAGCTGTATAAATTGAAGAAAATTTTATTTGAAGAGAAACCGATAATCTAATATGACAAAGCATATTAATTATCAAATTAAACGTTCAGAGAATATCAGAAGGAAACAAGAAGAATCCCAATCAGCTACAATTTATATCATTAAACAATATGGACCAACATTTTACCTGTTACAAGATGATACAGAACAAAAGTTTAAGGTGAGTTGAATAGGGTGCGGAGCGATGGGGAGAGGATAAACAACTAATCCCATTTCATATGATTGAGCTGTTATATATTATATCAGATGCAGTGTATTGACCATAGTCATCAGATTGTAAGAACTTTACAACATTCAGACGTTGTTAGCATAGTTCCAATCTTCTGTCACCTCGTCTTCAGTATCCGTAGTAGGATTTCACGTGTATATACAACAGATATGGAGTCATTATTCTCGTAAGTGTTTCCAGTTTAATCGATAGACAATGATGATTCGATTATCATCAAGCTATATACATTCTAACCATTAACACTTTATCCAATTCTACAGTGTCCGGTTGCGTTTAGCGACATGCATAAGTATGGCCATGCTTTCTCCTTGACTCCTTATCTTACTAGGATTTACCAATTTTTATCTAGCTAGGCTTTTTCCACCTGGATAGACTAATTGACCTTGCTGGACTTACTGTGACTGACCTATGAGGTATATGACCTGACAATCATTGCAAGGTATTTAGGGTAAACTAAATTAATCTGCCTAAACGAGGTAGTCTCTTTCACCTACCTGCGTAGGCAGCATTCTTTCAGCTACAGGCGTCCTAGTCATAGACGAGGATGTCAAAACCAGGATCGGAAACACAGCTAGACAGGCTTTCATTAATTTGAAAACATCATCGTCGAGATCTACTGCACTCAGCACAAAGTGTCAACAACAATCGGATTTTAAACACCAGCGTCAAGTCACTGCTTCTATGTGGTTCAAAAACTTGGCATATCACAAAAAGCATTTCCAACAAACTACAAATATTCATCAACAGCTGTTGCCTACGCTTACTCTATACTGAAGATCAGATTAGGACGCCGGAAAGAATAAGCAGCAAGGAACTCAATCTGGCTGCCAACGAACCACCCAAGAACCTATCACCCAATAAATATGCAGTAGAGGAAAATGGAGATGGATTGGGCATACACTGAGAAGGCCGACTGGGGACATCACGCGCCAGGTCAAACCCTAGAGTAGAATCCAAAGGTGAAACGACAAGTTAGGCGTCCGAGGCGAAGATGACATGGAGGAGGAGATGGTGTGAGGAAGAAATGAAAGCTTGTGGGCAGTCGTGTAGCAAGGTTGAAAAGACTGAAGAGAAGAGAGTACAATGAAGGCTTGCTACTACCATTAACAACCGTATTACTAATATTAGTCATATGTTTCCTGATGATTCCTAAGGAACTTGTCAATTTGTTTAGGAAGGTAATTATCGGTGTGTAAGGTGTTTATAATGTATCCCGTGTTGTTGTCCTAGATGTTCTGTTCGACTAGAAAGTTTCCTGGCCCTGGTACTTAGACATTTTATTAAGTCAACTTGAACTGATATAGAATGAGGTGATTTGAAGTGCAAGTAACGTCCATCCAAATGAACAAAGGGCCAGGGATTACTGTGTAACCGTCCAACTTCCACACCTCTTATCAATACATCGTAAACAAGGAAGTGAAGTGGAAGATGAAGATAAGAAAATTCACTGAAAAGAAATCTAAAGTACTAAAACAGAGGAACGAAGAATGAGAAAATGGTGAGATCCAGTTTAGCTGTTAAGATGAGAATAATGTGTGTATACATCTGCGCCAACCTCTCCTGGTTAACTAGTTCACTAGTTACTAGCCGGTCCTAAGCCCGGGTAAAGAGGGAAGGTTGGGCATAGGGCTAGCAACCCTACCCCGTAAAACAAATCTAACCGCTAAAGAAACTTCAAAGCACAAACGATATATAAAAAATAAAAACAAAATTATTCCTCTGTGGAATCGGAGAGGCGAAATGACGCCAGTTGGTGAAAGCCTTCGGGAAGCTAGTTGGCCGATGTGTCTACTCTCCTCTCGATGAAAGCGAAAGTAAACGTGGGGACATGGAATGTCCGCACCATGTTTGAACCCAGCAAGGCAGCCCAGATTGCAAAGGAGATGAGAAGGTATCACATTGAAGTGCTTGAAATTTGCGAAAGCAGATGGAATGGGAGTGGACTCTCCAAACTGTCAACTGGACAATCAATAATCTACTCCGACACTGTCACCCAGACAACAACCACGAGCACACTGAGTTTTGGAGTGGCTATCATGATGTCCCCTTGAAGAGCATCGAAGGCTCACTCTCATGCATTGGGAACCAATCTCCTCCAGGATCATGACAGCATGATTCAACTCAAAAGGAAGGAAGGTCACAATCATACAATGCTACCTTGTGCACCTACAAATAATGCAGATGAAGAGAAGAAGGAGGAATTCTACAGACAACTTCAATCAACACTGGACAATACCCTATCTCAGTCGGCGATATCAAAATTCTAATGGGCTACATGAATGCCAAACTGGGAGGGGACAATACAGGAAGAGAACTAACCATGGTAGAGAAGCGCTAGGTGAAATGAACAAGAATGGAGAATTGTTTGCAGAATTCTGTGCATTTAACGATTTGGTGATTGGAGACAGTGTGTTCAAGCACAAGGGTATCCACAAAGCGACATGGATTTCACCAGACACCAGGATGCACTAAAAATCAGATCGACTTTATCTCAATCTCAAGAAAATGGAGACGCCGCCTACTTGACACAAGGTCAGGAAGAGGAGCAGATGTAGGTTCAGACCACTTACTGTCTAGTGCAAGGAACCTTCCAAATCAAGTTAAAAGCCTTCAAGGAAGCTGATGATAGACCGCAGTTCAAGTAAAACACTCGGAAACTGAAGGACGAAACTACAAAGGAAATCTTCACGGTAGCCAGCCATCAAGACAAAATGGGAGATATCGAGGAACATCCCTGAATAAACCTGTGTGGAAGAACACTGGAAGTCTTTGAAAGCTATGTGGAAAGAAACCTGCACAGCCGTATTAGGAAGGGAGAAGAAAGAAGATAAGTACTGGATCTCGATGGATACATGGAAGCTGATAGAGGAGAGGAGGATGGTGAACCAGAAGATAAACCAGTGCAAGGATGCTCAACGACATGAGGAACTGAGCACAATGTATAAAACACTACACTGGACAAAGAAGTGAAGAAGAGTGCACGCAAAGACAAAAGACACTTCTACGAAAAACTGGCAAGTGAAGCAGAACAGGCTGCAGGTAAGAGAGACCTGACAACATTGTATCAAATAACCAGGTTGCTATCTGGGAAGAGATCAACGCAGACGAAACCAATAAAAGATGATGACGGAAATTTAATTACGAAAGAAGAGAAACAGAGGAAACAATGGGCCGATCACTTCAAGAAGCTCTTGAATCGACCACCACCTGCACTTCGTCCAGAAATACCACCTGCAGTCCAGCCTTAGAACTACAAGTGAACATAAATCCTCCAACGAAAATGGAAGTCCTGAACGCCATAAAGCTACTGAAATGCGGGAAAGCAGCAGGACCAGATGGAATCCCACCAGAAGCACTGAGAACAGACGCAGAGACAACAGCAGACATGCTCACACCACTATTGCAGAAGGTGTGGAAGGAAGAGAATGTACCTGGTGATTGGAAGAAGGGTTACTTTGTCAAACTGCCGAAGAAGGGAGACCTTAGTGTTTGCAAGAACTGGAGCGGAATCACTCTCCTGTTCATCCAAATCAAGCAAAATATTAAGCCGCATCATCCTGGAGAGACTAAAGGATGCACTGCATTCAAAACTACGACCGGAACAGGCTGGTTAGCTTCAGGAAGTACAAATCATGTGCGGATCAAATTGCAACGCTTCGCATCATCATAGAACAGAGCATAGAATGGCAATCAGCTCTCTACCTCAACTTCATCGACTTTGAGAAGGCCTTTGACAGCGTTGACCGAGAGGTAATTTGGAAACTGCTTCATTACTACGGAGTACCGCAAACCTTGGTCAGCCTCATTCAACAAGTATATGATGATGCTACATGCTAAGTAATTCACAATGAGAAGCTCAGTGATGCTTTTGAAGTGAAGACAGGAGTGAAACAAGGTTGTCTACTATCCCCCATGATATTCCTGATTGTGTTCTGGTGGACTGGATCATGCAGCAAACAGTGGGGTGCTGTGAGAAGAGGGGGATAAGCTGGGCCGCGGAAAAGAACCTAGAAGATTTGGAGTTCACCAACGATGACTTGTGTCTGATGTCACACAACCTTGATGATCTACAGGCAAAAACTAACAAGTTGGCAGAAGGGGCAGCGAAGACAGGACTTCGAGTGAATATATAGAAGACAGAGGTGATGAAGATACCGCACCACCACCACCAACAAACTCCAGTCACCATCGACGAGAGAAACTTAAAGGAAGTAACCTCCTTCACCTATCTAGGAAGCACTGTTTCAACTACAGGTGGTGGTACAGACGAGGATGTCAAAGTCAGAATCGGAAAGACAGCAAGACAGGCGTTTATTAGCCTGAAACCAGTGTGGAGATCTTCTGCACTCAGCACAAAGGGTGAACAAGATGCGGATTTTCAACACCAACGTCAAGTCAGTGCTTCTGTATTGCTGAGAGACTTGGTGCGTTACGAAAGGGATTTCCAATAGACTACAGACATTCATCAACAACTGCTTACGCTAGCTCGATACTGAAGATCAGATGGATTGCCAGAAAGAATAAGTAACAAGGAGCTCTGGGAACGAACCAACGAAGCAAGAACCTATCACCCAACAAATGTGCACTGGAAGGAAGTGGAGATGGGTTGGGCATACACTGAGAAGCCCGGCTGGGGACACTACGCGTCAGGCCAGTTGCTTGAGTGGAATCCCCATGGGAAGCGACTAGTTTGGCGTTAGAGGTGAAGGTGACATGGAGGAAATCGTGCAAGGAGGAAATGAGAACTTGTGGGCTGTTGTGGAACCAGGTTCAAAAGATTTCAGAGAACAGAGTTCACTGGAGACGTGCTACTGAAGCCCTATGTTCCGTTAGGAACCCAAGGGACTAATAATAAATAATAATAATACATCTGCGCCACTCACATTGGTTCTGAGCTGCACCACCTATAGTCTCTCACCTCTGTTGGTTTC